ACCAGTTCAATTCCCAGTGCCAGCATTATCCAGTTGATCTCAGGCTTGTTCTTGAGGACTTTGCTGCAGCATCACCTGTGATCAGGCAGTCTATTGAGCTTTCCTGTGAGGTTTCACCCAGGAAGTAACATCTACCCATTCAATAGTATCTACCCTTGATGTCTATTGTTTTCTTCCCAAGCCCTGCTCAGACAGAGTGAGGTAGACTCAAACCAGGACTTTGTGGGTCACTGTAGAATTACCAAGGGGGCTGCAGCGTTTGTATTGATTGCTTCCCAAGCCTTCTACATTGCCAACCTTCTGAACAGCAATTAAGGATCTAATTCCTTAAACTCTTACATGTCTTAACTTCATTATTTTCTTTAGATCAGTAAGCATCATCCCACAAAAGAATCTTGCAGTCTCAGGTTCTGTAGTCTGAGAAGAATGGTTATTATCCCCACAGCAAAGGGATTATTTGATACTGTAAGAACAGAGGCCATGGAAAGCTCTTGGAGAGGAGGCCTGGTTGCAAGGCAGAGGGACTCTCAGCAGCAAGCTCTGGGAATTTGCAAGAGAGGCGGTTTTATTCATGCAGAAGATGAGGGGAGTGAAAAGGGCTCAGATTTTACACCTGTCTTTCATAGTGAGAACTCATTTTACTTACTGTTCCAAGTCACCATGCTGATACTTACTTCTTCTGTAAAGTGCTCTGAGATCTACAGATGGGAAGAAGCACCCTTACTCAGCAGCTGTAAATTTCCAGACCTGCTTCTCTTCCAGTTCTCCTGCTCTCTGTGCTAGATGCTGTCTTCATGTCTCCCACACTGGTGTACTGCTGCAGACTGGGAAGGGGAGAGCATCTCTCATTCACTATGTAAATCCATTGATGAAAACATAAAATGCATTGTGCTTCTAAAACTTGCTGAGCTTGTTTGAATAAATGCCAAGGATTAACAGCATGTAAATTCACCATTGATTTGACAACAATGATGTTATGTGCCCCAAACACTGATGGGATTTGTTCAGTGTTTAGGATGTGGGCTCTGAGGTGGAAAAAAGGGATTGCTTGTAATTTTTTAAGCCTCTTTGGCTGCACCAAGGCAGACTGTTGGTGTTATATAAATTCTTTAGATAAAATAAATATCAGTCTTTGCATAAGGAGAGTGGATATTTAGCTTTTCCAGTATACAGCTGAACAGTAAATCTGTGGATCGGTGTAAGCCAGGAAATAAAAATAGCCCCATCTCTTTAAAATAGGGAGGAAGGAGCTGTGGGGATGGAAATCCCAAAGGCCAGCAGTAAAGCAAAGGACTGTGTCTTAAAAACAGTGAGACAAAGATGTCTTTTTATGAAGAAAACTAGAAATGTCATCTCCACTATTTGTCCCCTCTATGGGGACAAATTTTTGCCTCTCCCTGTCTCCAGTGATAACTTTACAAGTGCCGTACCTGTGGAACAAAAACAGAGCTCCCCAGGAACATGCTGACATCTCTTTAAAAGAAAAACAACCCAAGGTGTTGTTTTTTTGTTTTTTTTTGTTTGTTTGTTTTAAATACACTTGCTGATGGATAGGTTCCTAGATCTGTATTTAAACTTCTTAATACAGAGCCGGATTTTCAAAGATGCTCAGTGGGCAACAGACCTCTCACTATCTGCTTTTTTACTAAGAGCTGTCTTCAGAGAGGGGTTTTCAGATGTTCATTTTGCTTTTAACAAGAAACATTTGTTCATCTAATGATAAAAGAATATAAAGTATGTCCCCTCTTGCTTCAACCCTCCCATTGGGTTAACCCTGCAGCCCCAGCCATAGTTAATCAAGGTGTGCAAATCTTACTGATTATTAGGCCTCATTTCCTCCCATCAATAGGGACTTAGTAGGATATCAGTAGTACCCAAAACTCAGCAGAAATTGTTACTTTAGTACTTTTCATGGTATTAAGTGGCACTGGGGAAAGTGAGGCCATCTGCAGCTGTGCTCAGCCATTCTTTCCTCCATCAACATGCCAGGGCAGATGCGATAGGTTGGATATTCAGGTTTCAGGTTGGATATCAGGAGCAATTTTTCTCAGAAAGAGTGGTGATGCAGTGGCACAGGCTGCCCAGGGAAGTGGTGCAGTCACCATCCCTGGAGGTGTTCAGGAGCTGTGTGGATGTGGCACTGAGGGATGTGGGCAGTGGGTGTGGTGGGGGCGGGCTGGTGGTTGGACTTAATGATGCCAGAGGTCTCTTCCAACTTCTATGATTCTATGATACTGCTCTGTGTATTATGTGTGTATTTGAGGAACAGAAAAAGAGTTTTCTAGTGAAAGGACTCTTACCTTAAGAAGAAAAAATTAAATACTGTGAGTTCACTTCTAGACTAAGCACCTAATAAGTGGCTTAGCAGCTTGGCAAAGGATGAGCCAAAACTGATAATATTGTCTCCCTAGTGTGTCTGCCTGCTTGGCTTTACTGCTTGTATATTGACTTCAATGGGCTTCTTGCATCCTTTCCAGAGCTGGGTCTGTGTAAGATGAGGAAAAGCATGTTGTTTTTTTTTCCCTGCTCACCAGCTCTGTCACAGATATTTCATAGTATTTTCTACTGGAGCCAGACTGTTAGGTAGAAAACTTGCAAGGAACTCACGTTATTACCTGTGGGTCTGTTATTAACCCTTTTTTGTACTCACAGAAATGTTTCTCCAAGGGGAAAACTCTTAATTATTATGCTTCAACAATTTTAACTTTAAATAAGGGCAGACATCATTCAGTCCCCTATGTTGTTATTATGCAGCTTACACCTAAGTGCAGAGGACCATCTAAGTGGATACAGTCCTACCTTTTCAGGTTGAGTAGTCTTGAAAATAAAAGCATCGGAACTCATTCTCATCTTCTTCAAAATTTGTCTGAAGAATAAGGTCAGGTCTGCAGGTCAGAAGAGACCGCTTGCCTTGAGAGGGCAGGCAGATTGGAGCAGAAAGATTGCCTTCCTGGGCTCTCCTGGGGTTGCAATGCAGCAGTCAGAAGCAGTGCTCGAGGTGATATTAGTACTTCAGAATCACATATGTACCCTCCACAGTTACGCTTGACCGGTCACTTCAATGTTCTTTTCCTTTTCGTGCTGGGCTTGCACTGTGCTTACCAGTAGCGCTGGTTCCACCCAGAAACTGACAGGTGAGGGTCAGCCATGCATCCAAGCTAGAGGCAGCTGGAAACAAGCAAGTACTGTGCTTGGTTACTGGAGCCTGCTTTACTCAGAAACCTGATCTAGGATTTCTGCTAATTGTCCTGGGCAACGTCTTGGCCTTCACTATGTGTCTCATGTGCTGTCATTTATTCATAATAGCTTAGGAAGGGATTCTTTTAAAAATAAGCTAGACAGCAAATCCTACAGTGAGGCTTTTTGAGTTGTACTTACATTTGAAATTTGCAATGGGCTTTGAGAGAGTCTCGTCTTTGATGCATGGCTTTTGGGTACACACCCTTGAATGTATGCTTCAGTCTGTTCCTCTTATGGGAATACAAACAAATCTCACTGCTTTTGCTCAGTAGGTGATAATGATGCATAAAGACTGTGCATCCTGGTCCCCTGAATAAGTGCAAAATCGTTGCTTTCTCCTCTCTCCCAACTATTTAATATAGCACCAATGGAGTTTATGACTTCTCTTTCACTCTTTGTATTCTCAGACATAGTTTTCTTCTGAGAAGTATTAGTCAGACTGTATGGGATTAATCTCACCAGCTCAGGTTGTCCAGAAAGAGGTTGGAATTAGAATTACTTTTTAACTCAGTGGAGATGTGGGCAGCACTGAAAGATGCCTCATTTCACTTTTTCTAGCCATTCACAGTATAGCACAAGACATTTGAAGGCATCTCTCTCTCTTCACTGACTGAACAGGGAGCCCAGACAACTCATTTACACTGGATGCCTAAGTTTTAGCCTGCTGAAAGTTAGATGTGATGAGTCTCATGAGACCACTTGTTGCCTCAAGGCAGAGAGACAGTTGGAAACCTACAATGAAAAAAGAATGACATTTATGCTTCGGCGAAGTATTTGCATAGAATCACAGATTCATTAAGGTTGGAAAAGACCGCTAAGATCATCTGTCAACCCATCATCCCCATGTCCACCAACCGTGTCCCTCACTGCCACATCTCCATGCTTTTTTAACATCTCTGGATGGTGACTCCACCACCTCTCTGAGCATACCTTCTTACTCCTTCAGAGAAGAAATCTTTCCTAATATCCAGCCTGAACCTCCCCAGTGCAACTTGAAGCCATTCCCTCTTGTCCTATCACTGTTACCTGGGAATAGAGACTGAGCCCCACCTCACTACAACATCCTTTCAGGGAGTTGTAGAGTGCAATAAAACAGTTTTGCCCACAAAAAAGAAAAATGCCTATCAAAGACAAAATAGAAATAACCAGTTCTAGGGAGATCCATGAAAATATATGTCCAGGTGAAACTTAATACATAAATCCATAAATATTATTCAAATATTTGCATCTTAATATACTGCATTTTAGATGAAATTTAGGTGAAGAGAGATTTTTTCTCTCAACAGCGCATTCCCACCTGTGCACTGAGAACACACATGCTCTGATTCTGGATCAATCCTCGGCCGTGGGTGGATGCTGGATATTGCTGAGCTTCCTTGTGTGGCTGGTATGCAGGTAAGTGGCTGTTCTCCTTCTGCTGGTTGTTATTGCTGGGAGAAGCACAGCCCATGGGGGCTCCCACTAGCCCATCCTTGCTCCACATGGGGAACTTGCTGGAGGATCCCTGCCCAGATTTATCAGACACACTTTATAGCACACTGCAAAAAATTGTCCCTTTTACAAACTCAAGTTAGACCTTTTTTTCTTCTCTTGGAAGAAAATTTTGTATTTTGAGCAGACTCCGCTTCAAGAGATGACAGAAACAAAACCACATAGGCACAAAGCCAAGGGCTGGGGGCAAAGACCCGCAGAAGGGGCCTCTTCCCCATCCATCCCTTAGAATCTGCCTGGCAGCTCTTGTTCATCCAGAAGACGTGCCGATGCCCCTGGGCAGAAACCATCTCATGCATCACAGCCTGGCAGCATCCCTCCAGGAGATCTGGCGCTGGTTCCCACCAGACTGTCATCCCCAGGTCAGTCTCCGCATTTCTGCTGACCACGTTGCCTTCGTCGTGAGATCATGTCTTTCCAGAGAAATCCCACTAATGCCTTCATTCTGCGAGATCGGTATATATAGGGGCAGCCTTCCCCGGGCTGCACTGTGCAGGCCAGCAAAGGCATCGCTGTCCTCCAAGCGGTTGCACGGCTCCCACGCTCTCCTTTTAGAACAAGACATAGCAGCAGCAAATATGGACATTACCATCCAGCACCCCTGGTTCAAACGCGCCCTGGGACCCCTGATTCCAAGCCGTTTGTTCGACCAGTTTTTTGGAGAGGGTCTCCTGGAGTACGATCTCCTGCCTTTGTTCTCCTCCACTATCAGCCCCTACTACCGGCAGTCCCTGTTCCGCAGCGTGCTGGAGTCGGGCATTTCAGAGGTAAGGCTCCTTACCGCCCCCTCCTTTGCCTTCCTCTCCTTCTCCACACCTCTGCTGGCTTCTCTCTGCCCAATGTTTTCTGGAGTGGGGCAGAAGCTTTAACCCTGTGCTCGGGCCGTCAGACTCAGCCTGGGCTGCCATAGCCAGCCTCCTGCCCCTTCTGGGAGCCCAGGTCCCTGGCTTGGGAGAAGGCTGCCCTTCAAGCAATGGAAAGTTGTTTGACTCCCTACCGTTCATCACATCACGTACCAGGCTGCCTGTGTTGCTCTCACAGCTGTCAGCTCTTTGATAAGGGAGGAACCGAGCTTCTCCTGGAATGAGCACCCATGAGCTGGGCTCCGCATTAGAGAAGACATTGGAGAGCACAAGCAGGAGTTTCTTCATCCCCCTTCTCTGCCTTGGCGGCTCCTCAGTTTTTGCCAGTATCCAGTATGCACTGGAGGACCTAGGAGCAGTTCTCCAAGCGCATGAGGAGAGGTGAAGGCTGTAGTCTGAAGCTCAGGGACTGGGGCTTTCTCTAGCTCACTGGTTTCCTCCCAGAAACTAGCTGCAGAGCTGAAACCACAAAGACATTCTAAATTGCTGAAAGGACAAAGCACATGCTGTCACGGAGCATTAATTTTAATCCCCTCTTGCTGCTGAGCACAAATGCTCAGTGCATCTGGCAAATTTCTAAGTGCAATCAAAGGGGTGCCTGACAAAAGAATAGTGGCAAGAAAAGATGCATCTGCCCATGGCAAAAGAAAGGGTGCTGCAAAGACCCCCAGAGTCCCTGATGCCTCATTCTCTGCCCTGGGAACGAAGACTCCTTCTGAGACAGGCAGGCTGTGGATACAGCCTGGTCTGTAGCCCCATTAGAGAGAACCGTAAAGCTGTTGGCTTTTGAGGCTGATGCAGCCTTTGTGTGTAAAGCCTGGGTCTTAATTGCTAACAATGTTCCTTTCAGGTGAGGTCTGACCGGGACAAGTTTACAATCATGCTGGATGTAAAACACTTCTCTCCTGAAGATTTGAGCGTGAAGATTATTGATGACTTTGTGGAAATCCACGGCAAGCACAGTGAAAGACAGGTAAGTGGAAGTAAGCAGGGTGATTAAGCAACTGGGGAATCAAGCTCTGTTTTATTTCTTTCCAACATTACCCAAGGGAAGAAAAAAAAAAAAGAGGAGTTACAAATTGTCATGCTTGGCATATCCAGCTCTGATGGAGCCCAGATCTGATCTGATGGCAGTAATGAAATAATCCAGCTCTCCTTTGTTTATGTTTGGCCATCATCTTCCATAACCATCAGATGACAATGTGCATTGTTCACTAATAACACCAGGCCCGAAGAAGAGTATTATTCGGTGTTGCCACCGAATAATGGATGAGTTTTTATAAGCCAGAATTATTAGGGGAAACAGGGAATTCATATGCTGAGCTGGAAGAGAAAAGCGAAACAAAACAACCAAATGCCTCAGGCTTGGAAACGTACTTTTAACATGTATGTTATGGAAATATTGGTGGGTGTTGAAAAGTGAATTATACTAGTGAGGGGGTTAATTCTTCTCCTGAACTTTCTGGAGGCTGCAGTGTGTCATGAGGGGACACCTGATCCTACAAACCTGAAAGATAAAACAAAAAGCGGAGATGCCCTGAGTAAAGTCTCAGGTCAAGCCAGGTTCAATGCAGACCACTTCTGGTCAACAACAGGGAAGGGTGGGCTCCAGGGGCTTCTGACAGAGCTTTCTCCTCTTCTCTACACATCAGGATGATCACGGCTACATCTCCCGCGAGTTCCACCGCCGGTACCGCCTGCCTGCCAATGTGGACCAGTCTGCCATCACCTGTTCCCTGTCCAGTGACGGCATGCTGACCTTCTCGGGCCCAAAGGTCCCCTCCAATATGGACCCCAGCCACAGCGAGAGGCCCATCCCTGTGTCCCGGGAGGAAAAGCCCACCTCTGCACCTTCCTCCTAAACCCTCTGCGGTACGCAGGCTGCCACCGGCTGCAGGTCTCACTCCTAGAGCCATTGCGTAGATATCAGTGAATACCTAGAGGGGTTTGTTCTGTTGTTTGTTTTTTCTTTTTCTTCTTTTTTTCTCCCCCATATGTTTATTTTCTCCCCTTGTATGGAATGAGGTGCTGGGTGAACGGCTGGTGGACTTTGAGGCTTAAACCTGCAATTCATGCTGTCAGGATGGCATGGATTTCACACACTGCCATGCCATTGCAGTTGCCAAAAGGGTCTTCCTCTGGTGCAGTAGTCCACAACCACCACCAGGAAGGAAGGAGTGCACGAGTAACACCATCTCCTGGTGCACAAATGCTTGTAGTGGGACTTGGAGTGGGGTAGAAGCCCCAGAGACTTTTTCTGTCCCACACAGTTAACTGGTTACTCCAAAAAGCGCAACTTGGCCAAGCCAAGCCCCACACTGGGATACTGCGTATGTGCGATAAATGTACCACAGGTTCCTTGCAACCACAGGACAGATAATAATGTGTTACGTTTGAGGGTCACAGCATATATTTTTTCTCAGCGAAGTGTTTCAGTGTGTCTGTTCACACCACCAGCCTGTCACTTCCTTAGGGACATCTGACACAAGGACAAGTGCATCTTTCCAATGTCTTAGCAGTGGGGAGAGAGGGGGCTCACCGCTCTGCAGAGGCTTCAGACCACACCAAACTCTCCCCAGCCTGTGCGTATCACACCCTTGCTCCTGCCCTCGCTGTAATTCTAGTGTAGCTCCATCTGACCCACTGGTATCTGGCACTCAACCCGAGAACTCAGTCCCTGGCAGTCAATAAAGAGATATAGGAAACACGCAATTGGCTTTGGGGGTTTGATTTTTCCTTTCCAAAGGTTCTGAAGTGGAAAGGTGAACGTGGTGCCTTGCACCACTCAGAGGATGCACTTTCCACCACATTCTGTAATTATTTTGTGTATTTGCCCTTTCATCTTCCTCTTATCCTTCACACAAGCCAAACAAAGGGATTAAAAAAGAAAAAAAAATAAATCTCAACAACCCAACACTGAGCCATTTCTTAAGCAGAGAAGGGAGATGGTTGTTAATTAGAGAGCAAGGCATTCCTGTGAACTCTAATAATATTTTAAACCTATTTTTACTGTGATTAATTATCAGGCAATTCCAAAGCTTTCAACCAAAAAATGTGCCATCTCTAGTGGAAATGCATGAATGATCATGTTTGGGAAAAGGATGGCATCGTACTGGGAGTGAGCAGCTACTACAGAGCTGGGAGGCAGGGAGAGGTCATGGTAAAAAAAAGCTGCCTCTTTCTGCCTTGCCTGGCTGTGAAGGGCCAGTGGCCACTGCTCCTTTGCTCTTAAAGGCACCTACAGGGTGCTGGCATCTCTCTTTCCTGACACAAACCCAACAGAGCTGGGAGGAAAGAATCAAACCAGCCTCATGGCAATACACGACAGGGGATTGAAACTAGGTGATGTTTAAGGTCTCTTCCAACCCTAAGTCATCCTGTTATACTATGAAAAATTCTATGATCCTATTAAAAATGTGAGAGGCTGCTATAAGCTTTTGTGTGAAGACACACTGGTGTTCTGTGCAGGGGTGGAATGTGTCCGCAGAGATTTAAAGCTCAAACTGAGGCCTCAAGCATAAGGCACCCCTTCTTCTAGTTACATAGCTGTGGGATACCCCTTCTATTTGTTGCACTTGGCTCTGCAAAAACCATTGCTTCCCTTCACCAGGATTAATGTTCTTTTACAAAGATCTTTACCAACCATGATCACAGTTTTGAGAGAGAGCTCTTCACCAAAGCTTTTCTGCACAAATTCACCTATAGCAAGGTGCTACTAACACACTTCAAGGATTAACAAAATTTCTTCGAAAGTTTTTTGTTAGAAACTCAATGATGACTTTGTCATGGAGTGAAAGGCAGGGGGAACCTGCCTTAGGGTGCCGATGGCACCTGGCAGTGTCCAGACAGTGGTGGTGTATGGTAACTGTACCAAGGTTTATAAAATCAGAACCATAGAATATCCCAAGTTGGAAGGGAACCACAAGGATCATCGAGTTCTGGAGATGGTATAGGAAAGTCCCTGCACAATCCTCGCAGCAGGACTGGAGCTGGGGATATCCCATCCTAGCGTGGGTTAGGAGATTAGCACTTAGATTGAGACTGACTGGCACTTTGGTGGAAAAATATGAGACTGGGACATGGCACAGGTGTTCATGGCATGTGTAGCACAAGCAGGGTAGCAATTAATGATGTAGTGAATGTTGGGGGACTTAGCACAGGGAGAGCGGTGATGTATTGGAATAGGCTGCCCAGAGAGGTGATGAAATCACTGTCCATGGAGGTGTTCAAGAGCTGTGTGGATGTAGCACTGAAGGGCATGGTCGGTGGGCATGGTGGGGATGGGCTGGTGGCTGGACTAGGTGATCTTAGCGGTCTTTTTCCAGCCTTAATGATTCTATGATTCTTTTGGATCCAGGCATAAATGAGCAGTGCTTTGAGCCATATCCATTCCCACTCTAAACTGCAGCAGTGCAAGGAGATTTACCTAAACCATGACAGAAGTCAGAAGGCCTGAAGGGACATCAGCTGAGCTTGGTCTGTGGTCCCTAGACACCACTGCTGGGGACTCTCCTACTTGACTCACTCATTGCTTTCAGAGGATGTTGCCATGCAGTGCTGGACAGAAGGGCACGGTGCAGGCAGTTTGCACCGGGCATTCACAGAAGCAGGGAGAGCAGGAGGGCAGACTATCCCTCCCCACTTTGGAGTCCAGTTCACCAGTCAGCTGCCTCCCAGACAACAAATCCGCCATGGTCTCCACTAGGTAGAGAGCTCTGGCCAAAAATAATGTGGTGACTCAAATGCAGTGCCTGCTCAAGAAGGCAGCTGTTCAGATCTCCGACTGCAGGGATGCCTGAGCCTGCTGCTGCCAGTGGAGGGCGGCAGGGATTCCACCTGCGTGAGGTGTGAGCTGAGGGAAGGTCTGCTTAGCATGGTGGCAGAGCTCAAGGAGGAAGTGGAGAGATAAAAGAGGATCAAGGAGTGTGAGCAAGAGATAGATTGGTGGAGTAACTCCCTGTCATACCTGCGAGAAAGGCACCAGAGTGATTCACCCCAAATGGTGGTGGACCCCCTGCACTGCCACTGTTGGGAAGAGGGAATGGACCCTAAAAGATGGTAAAGAATGGAAACAGGTCTCCGCTCAGTGTCACAGGCAACTCCCCAACCCTACCTACCTTGGTTGCCCAGGTGTTTCTATGTAATAATAAATTTGAAGCTCCAGAACTTGAGGGAGAGGTAAGTGCCCATGAGGTTGTCTGGGGCAAGGTGGTCAACTCCACATCTCAAGACTGCCTCCACCAAGAAGGAAATAAGGATAACTGTCATAGAAAACTCCCTTCTGAGGGGAACAGAGGGCTCCACATGTCAGCCAGATCCTACCTGTAGGAAAGTGTGTTGCCTCTCTGGGGCTAGGACATTAACTAAAAAATGTCCTGGTCTGGTTCAACCCTCTGATTATTACCCTTTACTGATAGCTCAGGCTGTCAGCAATGAAATCACTGAGAGAAACTTGAGGGCTATCAAAAGGGACTTCAGGACATTGGAGTTGTTAATTGGTGGCACAGGAGTTCCCATGGTATTTTCCTCTATCCCCTAAGTGGCAACAAGGGATGCTGAGAGGACCAGGAGAACCCATCTCATAAATATGTGGCTGGGGTCATAACAGCAATTTTGGCTTTTTTGATCATGAGGCAGTTTGCTTGGTGCCTGGCCTGCTGCCTGCTGATGGGTCTAATCTGTCTCAAAGGGAGAAATGAATCCTAGCCCATGAGCTGGCAGAACTCATTGAGAGGGCTTTAAACTAAATACGAAGGGGGAGGGAGAAAAAAACAGGCTTTCCTTCAGAAGGAATAGGCAAGGAAGGAGGCATGGCTCTCTGTGTTAGAGAGTGTTTTTATGTTGTTGAGCTTGGGGCTGGAAATTATAAGATGGCATAGATTCATCGTGCAAACTCTTGGGATCGTGGATGTCTTGGAGACTTTGTTAGCCTCCTCCTGTCAAGGGAAAAGGCATCTATGAAGCTCTGTCTAAGGGCATCTGTGTAATAAAGCGACAGCTAACTGAGCATGTGTGCCTAGCATGTACAAAGCTTTGCATCTCTGGCATAATGTCTGCACACAGACCATTTTGTTTCCTTGGCATCCCCAATGCTCTGCTTAAAGATGCCATACCAAAGGATTTTTATACATGTATCTATCTGTTCTGGAAAAGAAAAAGACAGCTGAACGAAGTGATAGCTGTTTCTGAAATCAGGGCAGCTCCGGGAGCCCCGTGAGTGGCCAAAAGATGGCAGCAGCCCCATGTCTTTGGAATTTCGTAGCCCTCTGCTTCGAAGGAAATGCCAAACAGAAAGGTCGCGTTTGGTATTTTTCTGAGTATCTCCTGTGTATTCCTCTAGCAATGTTTTTATTTTTCTTCTTTTCTCCTTTTATTTCTTTCTTTTTCTCCTCCCAGCAGCAATTACTTCAGTTTTCTTTCTCCTTCCCTCACAGGAAGCTGTGCAGTGCCACTGTCCCTGCTATCTCCTCTTTCCACCCACTTGGACTGATGCCAGTCCCTCAGTGCAGGACTCCACGTGCTGTCCCCGTGCCTATAATGCTGTTATTTTCTCTGGAAAAGTGGCTGGGAGCCCCTCTCCCACCTCCCTTGTTTTCCATACTCAGACCCTCACAGGGAGGGAGGAAACAAGGGGGTGGAGTGAACAGATGTCTCCCAAGCTGTCCATCTCCTGCCCTTCAGAAGTCACCTGAACATGGGTCTGAACACCCTGCTGGAGCAGGGAGTGGGCCGCAGGGACCCAGCGGTGCTTTCCCACCTCACCCATCCTGTGATAAGAAGAAGGGGTGCTCTGCTTCCCCACACACAGCACATGACCAAGCCTGGGATGCCCAGCCGAGGTCTGGAACGACATTTGGCTCTG